TAATGGACCAATTAAAAACATAAGAATCCCGAATGGAGATAGGTTTTTTGTGAACCACATAGGTGATATTAAGTTTCCTAATGGTATTGAATTAAAAGATGTCCTATATGCTGCTGAGCTCCAATTCAATTTGATTTCTGTATCCAGAATTACCAAAGAATTGTTCTGTGTTGTGTCCTTTTACCCTGATAAATGCATGTTGCGGGACCTTCAGGATGGCAGGATGAGGGGGATTGGTAGAGTAGTACATGGACTATATTTGTTGGAATTAGAGAGAGATTATGTTTGTGCGAACATTACTAGTGATTTGTGCTGTTCTGCTACACATATTGATCTGTGGCTTTTACATAAGCGATTGGGACATGCTCCTGTGAATGTAATGAGACATTTAGATATTGTCAAAGATAAATCAATGCATTTGAATAAAGGATGTGATATTTGTTTTCAGTCCAAACAAACTAAACTGCCTTTCCCTTCCAGTTGTATTAAAACTGATAAATGTTTTGATTTATTACACATGGATGTGTGGGGGCCTTATAGAGTGCCCACACATTCAGGTTTTCAGTATTTTCTCACTGTGGTAGATGATTTCTCAAGGGCTACGTGGACATTTTTAATGAAGAAGAAATCAGAAACTATGTATCATGTTAAAGGCTTTCTTGCTTACATTTTGAATCATTTTGGTGTTTCAGTCAAGAGGGTAAGGAGTGACAATGGAACTGAATTTGTTAATTTTGAATTAAGAGATTTCTTTAGGGAAAAGGGAATCCTACACGAAACTACTTGCCCTTATACACCTGAACAGAACGGTATTGTGGAAAGAAAGCATAGAACACTGATGCAAGTCTCTAGAGGATTAATAATACAGTCTGGTATTCCAATTCAATATTGGGGGGAGTGTGTGAAAATGGCCACCTATCTTATTAATAGAACTCCTAGTAGAGTCTTGCGTTTTCAAACCCCATATGAAATAGTTCATGGACATCAACCTGATTATGAGAACTTGAGAATTTTTGGCTGTTTGGGATATGCTAGTGATCTTATTAACAAAGATAAACTGCAACCCAGATCTATACCCTGCGTTTTCTTAGGCTATCCTGATAATAAAAAGGGTTTTACCTTATTAAGTCTTAAGGACAATAGTATTTTTGTTAGTAGACATGTGAGGTTTCTTGAGGATGTCTTTCCTTTTAAAAATAAGAGTGGATGTGATCAAGGGGGAGTACCTGCAGATTTCAAACAAATGTTTTATTTTGATGACCATAGTGATACTTCTCTACTAATTCCACAGATTGTGAGGGAACCTCACCAAGAAGAGAGTCACAGTGTTGAAAACACTAATAGACTAAACACAAATGATCAGGCCTTAGGAAATGAAAATAGAGATTCTGCACAGTTTAGCAAGCGTTCTATTAGGGAAAGGAGGCCACCTATTTGGGCCAAAGACTATGTTTGTAATTTGACTCAGTCAAAATTCACAAATAAGAAATCTGATTGCAAATATCCCATTGAAAATTATATATCCTATGATAATATTTCTCCATCATACATGTGTTATCTTTGTTCTATTGATGCTGTTATTGAGCCAACTACTTATGATGATGCTGTAACTGACAATAACTGGGTTAATGCCATGAAATCAGAAATTAATGCATTGGAAGAAAATAAGACTTGGGACATAGTTCCTTTACCTAAAGGTAAGAAGCCAATTGGTTGTAAATGGGTTTATAAAGTGAAATATAAACCTGATGGAACTATTGACAAATATAAGGCTAGATTGGTTGCTAAGGGATATAATCAAACCGAAGGAGTAGATTATAATGAGACTTTTTCACCAGTGGTAAAGATGGTCACTGTCAGAATTATTTTAAAACTAGCTGCGGTAAACAATTGGTTCTTGTATCAAATGGATGTAAATAACGCTTTCTTGCAGGGAGATTTAGATGAAGAGGTTTACATGACCATACCCCAAGGTTTTAAGAACCAAGGGGGAGATGTGGTGTGCAAATTGAGAAAATCCTTATATGGGCTTAAACAAGCCTCAAGACAATGGAACCAAAAGTTATCACTGTCCTTGTTTAATGGGGGTTTTCTGCAGAGTAAGTATGATTACTCTTTGTATACGAAACATTATGATGATGGTTTTGTAATCATTTTAGTATATGTGGATGATTTATTAATCACTGGAAATTCTGAACAAAGAATTAATCAAGTTAAAGAGTTTTTACATGGTCACTTCAGAATTAAGGATCTAGGTGTTATGAAATACTTCTTGGGCATTGAGGTAGCAAGGTCCAAGAAGGGAATTTTGCTGTCACAATGGAAATATATACTGGACCTCCTTGCTGAAACAGGAATGAGTGGTTGTAAGCCACTCACTTTGCCCATGCCACAACATTTAAAGTTAGTAGCCTATGAAGAAGGGAGGCATCGAAAAGAAGATTTGCTCAGTGAGCCAGGGAAGTATAGGAGGCTTATTGGTAAATTGATTTACTTGACAATGACAAGACCTGATATTTCTTTTCCTGTGCAGGTCTTGAGTCAGTTCATGCAGCAGCCAATGAAATCACACTGGGTAGCAGCTGTGGGAGTCCTAAGATATCTCAAACAGTCACCAGGACTTGGGATTAAGCTGAGTTCAACGCGGGACCTGAACTTGAGATGCTTCTGTGATTCAGATTGGGGATCGTGCGAGACCACACGTAGGTTGGTCACTGGTTATCTTCTCAAGCTAGGAGACACTCTCATAGTCTGGAAAACCAAGAAGCAGGCAACAGTCTCAAGGTCCTCGGCTGAAGCTGAGTATAGGGCTCTTGGTTCAGCTGTGTCAGAAGTTGTTTGGGTTAGAGGTTTGTTATCTGATTTGAGGATTCCTTTAGAAGGTCCAGTTGATGTATATTGTGACAGCCAATCGGCCATCCATATTGCCACAAATCCAGTGTTCCACAAGAGAACAAAACATATAGAGATCGATTGCCATTTTATTCGTGAGAAAGTGACAGAAGGAATTGTAAAGCTTCAGCATGTTTGTTCTGCTGATCAGGAAGCAGACATATTGACAAAGCCAGTAGGAAAAGAGACTCAATTACGGTTGCTTAGCAAGTTAGGAGCTTCTAATGTTTACAGCCCCAAACTTGAGGGGGAGTATTGAATTGTTATAGTGTTTGGTTTGTTTCGGTTTAGGCCTAGGAGCTAATTAGTTGAGCCCATTTGGTGTGTAGGTCTATATATATGGACAAGGCCTGTTGGTGTATTATGATTTTTTCTCAATGAATAAAAGTACAATTCAGTATGCTGCGTGTAACTCTGATAGCTAATAATCATCAATCCCAACAACAGAAAGAAAAAGGGATACATCGATATGCATGCAATACCGATCATTTTGGCGATGAGTGTGAGCTCATCCTGAGCCTCTTCGATGAGCTCCTCGAGCTGGTCACAGCCAAGGCACTTCTCTGTCATTTCCCAATCCTCCTCTTCCTTGCAAACGTTGAGCCTCTACCTTGTAAAGCTATCTACGGCCTTACGCTAGCCTTCATCCTCAGGGATGGCCTAGACCTCCTTTAGGGTTTTAGTATAGAGAACGATCAGAACCTCTTGCGCATGCGCATTCGGCACCACATCTAGGCCCGCGATCCCCGTTGTCTCCTTCACTTTGGCCATCAATGGCCGCGCAACCGTGCGCAGGAACATTTTACAGAGTATAATTTGCATCGTACCCGATCACTGCGTCATCGGTTTGGCCCTGTGTTGACATTTGCACTCTCATGTTCGAAGGGAGCCCGGCCGGTGACACTCCGACCCGAATGAAAATGGCAAACTGGGTTGGGGTAGGATTTTGGGATCAAGTATCTTAGCAATTCGTCCCTCTTGTTACATTATTTGCAATTTTTGTGCATGTATCCCCAAATTATTGTGCAAATTTTGGAAATTTAAAATTAGTGGATTAATGGTTACGTTTGGTAAGAAGTATTGAAAATGAGGGTTGGGATTGTGATTGTAATTGAGAAAATCTATTAAAAAAGTGTTTAGTATAAAAAATTATTTGTTATATGAGATTAGCCAAACCCATATATGTGGGATTGGTGAATATCATCGAGAGAAGTGGTATTCTCCAATCCCACCTTTATAGGTTTGCCTAATCCCATATAATAAACAATTACTCATGTTAAATAATATTTTAAAATTTTTTTTCAATTGCAATCCCAATCTCAATACCACATTTTCAATGTGTCGTACCAAACGGGATTTATAATTCATGAGAGAGCCGAATACAAATTTTCTAAATCAACTTTGGATAATTTGTATTCAATACTGTTTATTTTTACTTATTTTAATTTTTCATTTTAATAGTCATACAGTCTGATTGAAATGATGTGAAAATTTGGATTATTTTCTCAAAAAAATTAAATTTAAACGTGCAAATAAATCTATGACTAAACAACAATATTTATAAATATTTTTGTGAAATCTATTTATATATAGTATAAAAACTATAGGAAATACTCTAATTTTATTGCAACTTACATATCTTAGATTTCATGATCTTCACATTGTTTATTCATGTATAATAACATATGAACCCCACCTCTTCAATAGGAAGAAAAATTCTCCCTACCCTTTTTCTAAACAAAGCAATGAATGTTCAATATTTAAGCTCACCTAATTAGTGTAACTCGTATGCCAATGAGTTTGTGCTCAAAACAATCATGAAGGCTAATTTTCACAATTATTATTACATATATCGTGAATTAATTTGAAGCTCAAAGCAATATCTCAATTAAACCACACAGCAAGCACATGTCGATATATTGACTCCGAAAAACAAGTGTCTGATTTTACAGTATAATTATTTATTTATTTTGCAAACTAAACTAGTAGAACATGCAAGGCTTGAACAATTATCGTAAACACAAGTTCGTTTAATTTTCTGGTGCAAACTTGCATAGCAGATGGATAAAACAAATGCCTTATAGTTTAGTATTCATCGAGTGACGATGGAAGAAGCTTAAAAGGCAACCTTGTGAAGCAGCTAGCTCCCCCACGTAAAGGACTGCAATATCGATGGATCAAAAGTAGAAGCAATTTGTTAGTCAACAAAGTCAAAGTGCTGAAAAATACTGAACTAACGTAACACATAGTTCCTGAAAGGTTATGCTTTTAACTTTCAGCATATATAAATACCTATTTCTAGAATAGTTCTTTGCAAGAATGCCCTTGACATTATCTATCGGCTTCCCCTATTGTATAAGAAAAATGTAACACTTATTTATTGATCCGAAGAATCTTCAAAATATACTTCGAGAATATATAATGCATTTACATATTTTTAAGAAGACAAAAACATTAGCTTTCTATTTTTTTCTGATCTGAAAAAACTTTAGTTTTTGAAGTTTTTTCCCCGTGAATAAAAAACAACCAAGTCTCTTCCAAAGATTGTATTTAATAATATATTAGTAAAGAAATTATTAGTTCACTTGCAGAGAAAATAGAAAATGATATATGAACATGAGAAATGGAAAACAAATACTAATTACGTACCTTCAAGTTGAACCTCTCCTCCACCTGCGCAGTTTGGCCACATTTATAGCAACGATCACGTACACTTTGTCATGTATGCCACTCATTAACCTAAAATAGGCATATCTGAAGGATTTATTCAGAAATATTAAGCTGCAAATTCCCCAAAATCCTGTTGCAAATCCGATGGACGAGCTGATAAAGAAACCTCGACGGAAAATTTGCTCATCTTCTTCAGAATTCTCATCATTTGGATGATCTTGTGTTGGGCTTGTGGGACATTTTGGAAGGGGAGCACCGCATAGATGAGCATTTCCCTCATAAGCAGAGGGATCAAAGCTTTGAAGTTGAGTGCCATGAGGAATTTCTCCTGACAAATTGTTGTGTGATAAATCCATCACACCAAGACGATCCACTTGTGAAAGTTCAGAAGGAATGCGTCCAGATAAGTCGTTCCTTGACAAATCAAGAAAGTCCAATGACTTTAGTTGTCCAATGGTGGCAGGGATTTGTCCACTGAGCATGTTTCTTGAAATGTTTAAGGCAACCAATTCAACAAGATCCATCAGTTCACTTGGAATTTCTCCCATCAACATGTTGCAAGAGAGGTCGATGCTTTTAACTAATCCCAATATATTTTGGTATTTGGACACCCTACCTTTCCATACCAGTGTTGCAAAGTCCTCTGTCGAGTAGAACCAAGTTTGCTCACGATTATATCGATCGGAACCATATGGTACTGTTGCATCAAAATTTGTTTGATTCTTCAAAGCAGAAAGATGGTTAAGGCATTTGGGCAAACTTCCAGAAATATTATTCATTGAAAGGTCAAGGATTTGAAGTTGAGGGAGATTACAAATACTGAGTGGCAAGCTTCCAAAAAACATGTTGGATCTCAAAATGAGGATGCTTAGCCCCTTAAGCCCATCTCCAATCCAGCGTGGTACTAATCCCTTAAAATCATTTTCGACAGCATCAAAATCCACTAGCTCCGTGCATTTATTCAGAGACAAAGGTATTTCACCCGAGAATTTATTGAACCCTAAATGTAAGGATTGTATATTTATCAATGAACCCATTGATGTTGGAATTTCTCCGTATAGGCTATTGTTTGCAACATCAAGAAGGGCTAATGATTCAAAATATTTCCAACAATCTGGAAGCACTCCTGATAGTTGATTGTTTGAGAGATCTAGGATCTCTAATACCACGGTCTCATTCGGACATAAGAAAGTACTAGCATCTGTGAATTTATTATCAGATAGAAACAATGCCAAGGCTGTATGTGATAAATTTGATGGAATTGAGCCTTCGAACAAATTTGAGCTCAAATCCAAATTCATAGCAAGAGAACCATTTCCGAGTTGAAAATTTTGTATTTCTCCAGTCATTTGGTTGTGTGAAAGGTTCATGGATTTAAATGACAAATCCCAAAACCAACTTGGCATCGTACTAGAAATTTCAGCATTTGAAATATCTAATGAGGAACCCGACTTCTGCGTTCGAAGCCAATTTGGAAAGCCAGGGCCCAACTTACATGATCTTAAATCAATGTCGGCTAACTGAAAAGGGGGGATCCAATCAGGACTGATTCTAAATTCCAAGTTGTTAAGAGACAACCCCAAGGATTCTAGCTGAGAGAGCCTCGAGAAATGAGTTTCAGTTATGACACCATGCAAGAAATTATTGGTAATGTCTAAAAACTGCAGCTTTGACAATAATCCAATGCCATCATTTACAGTTCCATTGAGTTGATTGTTGGAGAGATATAATCTTTCCAAAAATGAGAACCGTGAGAAATTAGGTACCGACCCCGTAAACCGATTATAAGATAAATCTAAGTTCTGTAGTGATATGTTGGCACAGTGGTCGAATGATGCAACGAAGTCATCTAATTGTCCACTCAAGGAGTTGTCAAATAGATCCAAATCTATTAAGTTGCATAAAGCCAAGGATTTGGGTATGCCACCTTCAAGATGGTTTCCCTGAAGGTCAAGTATTTGCAAGCGCGACAAATATCCCAAATTGAAAGGAATGTTTCCTGTCAAATTTGTGAAGGAGAGATCGAGACTTTGCAATCTCTTTAAAGAAAGAATGGAGTCTGGGAATTTAGTTGGAGAGAAATTTTGGAAACCAAGGTCCAAATATTTTAAATGATGCAATTCAGCCAATGACGGAGAAATTGTACCTTCCAAATTACACTGATCAAGACGGAGTGAATCCACATGGCCCGTTTGGCTGTCACAGAGAACGCCATACCATGTGCAACAATCTGTGTGGTTCTCTGAACTTCGCCAAGAAGAGAGGCAGCCACGGGGATCAACAAAGCCACGTTTGAGAGAAAGAAGGGAGAGTCGTTCCTTGACTCTACACTTGACAGTAGTGTTGCCAACTGCGAGTGCCTCGCAAGAATAATGCACCAAAAGCACAAGGCAAGCAACAAGAAACCTCATATCTGCCATCCTTTAGCTGTGGATATAAGGTTATGATGCAGTTCGCTATGCGAGATAACAAGCACCACAAAGGCCATGTATTTATAGGCAAGATTTTGTTGTCTTCATGATAGTGTTGGAGGATATACAAACTCTCAATATGAATTCAAAATTATATGTAACAAGCTTTAAATTTTTTAACTCCGAGATCTTGAATAAATAAACAGAGAGATTCGGATATGTGAATGATTGGAAATCATTTACCACACCATATATGTCATTCTAACTTAATAGCGACAAAGAACAGAGGCAAAGTATTTGCTGGCCATCACGAGAATTGTCTTGTCTTTTGTTGTTATCCACAGACTGTCTAATATTAAGCCGTGTGAGAGACTTCCAACGACTTTTCTTTAGAAGTTTGAAGTTTTCACAATTGGCTTCATTTATTAATATGACGGATTTGGTTGCATATACTCTTATTTACGCGTGAAATTAAATAAGTACTGTATACGTGTGAAAGCCTTCATGATCAAAAACTTTGAGTAGTTTATAAGTAGTTTCTCAATCATGACTTGCAAAATAAGAAATAAGTACATAATAACAGTTTTGTCTTGATTTACGTGATACGTGTTTATAAGTTTTTTTATTGTTATTCCAAACTTGCCCTTTATATTATTGGATAGGAAATTTTCACATGGTTTCATTTTCTTCCATTGTTTTTACCCATCATGAGGGTGACACTTCATTCCGAAATTGAAGGAATAAGAATATATGGACTTCTATATTTTGCCAAAGACTCTGAAATATTGGAGGACACAAGACGTCTAATATACAAGACAATGAATTTAAAATCCTATATATATTGATATTGGAGGGTGCAGTGATCCGTTTTTACGTGTCATTTTTAAAAATAGCAAGGCTAAAGACTTTGAATTGTTAAAATTTGAACTTAAACAGATATTATAGTTCTATTTTTTTAGAAAATATTAATTTTTTAGAATTTGTTGTGTGTTTTCTTTTTCTAGCAGTAGCATTACTTATTTACATGTAACAGCAAATTAAATTAGTCAAGGTCCAAAGAAGAAAGCAGAGTTTCGTAAAAGAGACTTCAAAGACTTCTAAAATGAAAGAGGCGTCCAAAATTTGATTTGGAAACTTGAATTTCGAACCAAACTTTACGTTGAGATTAAATTCTAATTCTAATATATGACAAAAAAGGATTAAATTCTAACAACGTATCTATTTTTTTCATAAATTATTTAGGATTTCACCCACCGTCATATTTATTTGTTTCCACGCGTTCCAAATTAATTTGGATTGAGCCGGGCATAGCTACAAAATGTGAAAATATTAATTTTTTAAAATTTGTTGTGTGTTTTCTTTTTCTGGTAGTAACATTACTTTTTTTTGGATGTAATAGCAAATAAAAAATTAAATTAATCAAGGTCCAAAGAAGAAAGCAGAGTTGTCGTAAGAGAGACTTCAAAGACTTCTAAAATGAGAGGCGTCCAAAATTTGATTTGAAAACTTGAGTTTCGAACTAAACTTTATGTTTAGATTAAATTCTAATTCTAATATATGACAAAAGAAGGATTAAATTCTAATAATGTGTGTATATATATTTTTCATAAATTGTTTAGGATTTCACCCACCACCAGATGTATTTGTTTCCATGCGTTCCGAATTAATTTGGATTGAGCCGGGCATAGCTACAAAATGTGACAAAACTCTGTCATCATATCGAGTGGTTAAAAATCATTATCGTATGACTTTCCGGTGGACAAAAATCATTTACTTGCTAATGCAAAGATTTGGATCAATTCATAACACATTTTACAGGGAAAATTTAAACTTTGTTGCGAAATGTATTAGTTCGTCTAATTTTTAATATAGAGTTTATTAAATATAAAATCTTAATCCATTTTGTTTTTTAAATTTATAATTTTTTTAACATAGCCCTATTAATTTCTATATGAAAGGAGGTTCCTAGTAATGAAGTAATAATCAAAAGTGTATATTAAAGAATAAAAAAATTTAACACATATTTGTTACAAATAATTAAGTTATATAATTTTTTTAATTTTAATACTTGTAAATTAATTATTTAGCTCCTATAGAGAGAATTAGTTTATGGATCATGTAACTCATTATAAAATTTATATTATATATAATAATATTGATAAAATAAAAATGCAATATAATGTTAGATATAACACTCCAATTGCCTAATTATTATGAACTCAGTGAGCGATGAGAACAAAGTATTTGAATTGGTGGGCACCATGAGAATTGATTTGTCTTTCCCTCTTTTCCTCAGACTGTCCACATATATTAGGCCGTGTGAGAGACTCTTTCTTAAGAAATTTCCACAATTGACTTCATTAGTGATTTTTTTTTAAGCAAAGACTCCATTAATGATATTATAACAATTTTGGCTGTATATGTTCTTATTATAGGAGTTAAAAGCTAACTTTGGGAGAGATCAAAGAAAACATATGCAAAATTAGATGTATAATATAAATATATATGATTTTAGGATGCATGACTTATTATGAAATACTTGTGTGATGGCTTATTGTTATAGTTAATAGAATTAAATTTTAAAATCGTCATCAATATGTATAAATTGCGAAATACTCTTCTTAGGAGGATTAAAGTCATTTTCTCTTGACAACCTTGACATTGTCATGCCATGAGAAAGGCTTCATGACTCCCTGTCTTTCACAATGTCCGTAAGCCGTGTGAGAGACTTCCATCAATTTTTTTTGAGAAGTGTGAAGTTTCCACAATTGACTTTATTTATTAATAACACAGTTTTGGTTACATATACTCTTATTTACGCGTGAAATTAAATAAGAGTTAAAATTTATCTTCGGGGGAAATCAACGAAAACATACGCAAAATTAAGTATCTACTATAAAGATAATTTTTGGATGTATATATGAATGAGAAATACTTGTAATGGCTTATTTTTACAATTCTACAAAGAAAATTAGTAAAAGTTAAAATCATCATCAATATATATAAACTGTGAAATTAAATATATACTGTACGCATGAAAAGCTTCATAATCAAAGACTTTGAGTATGTTTGAAATAACATATAAGTAGCTTTTCAATCGTAATTTACAAAATATGAGGTAAGTATGTGGGAGGAGTTTTGTCTAGACTTACGTGACACATGTTTATAAGTTTTTTTAATCGCTATTCCAAACTTGCCCTTTGTATTATTGCATAGTAAATTTCCACGCGGTTTCATTTTCTTCCACAATGTTTTTATCCACTAGGAGAGTGACACTTCATTCCAAAATTAAAAGAATAAGAATATATAGACTTTTATTTTTTGCCAAAGAATATATGACTTTGAAATATTGGAGGACACAAGACTTCCAATATACAAGACAATAAATTTAAAATCCTATATATCTTGATATTGGAGAGTGCATTGATCCATTTTTACGTTTCATTTTTAAAAATAGTAAGGCTAAAGACTTTAAATTGTTAAAATTTGAACTTAAAGAGATATTATAGTTCTATTTTTTTTTAGAAAATATTAATTTTTTAAAATTTGTTTTGTGTTTTCTTTTTCCAGTAGGAACATTACCTTTTTACATGTAATAGCAAATTAAATTAGTCAAGGTTCAAAGAAGAAAGCAGAGTTGTCATAAGAGAGCCTTCAAAGACTTCTCAAATGAAAGAGGCGACCAAAATTTGATTTGGAAACTTGATTTTCGAACTAAACTTTACGTTTAGATTAAATTCTAATTCTAATATCTGACAAAAAAGGATTAAGTTCTAATAATGTATATATATTTTTCATAAATTTTTTAGGATTCACCCACCACCAAATGTATTTGTTTCCATGCGTTCCGAATTAATTTGGATCGAGCTGGGCATAGCTACAAAATGTGACAAAACTCTATCATCATATCGAGTGGTTAAAAATCATTATCGTATGACTTTCCGGTGGACAAAAATCATTTACTTGCTAATGTAAAGATTTGCATCAATTCATGACACATTGTTGCGAAATGTATTACTTCGTCTAATTTTTAATATAAAGTTTATTAAATATAAAATCTTAATTCACTTTGTTTTTTAAATTTATAATATTTTTTAACATATCCCTATTAATTTCTATATGAAAGGAGGTTCCTAGTAATGAAGTAATAATCAAAAGTGTATATTAAAGAATAAAAAAAATTTAACACATATTTATTACAAATAATTAAGTTATATAATTTTTTAATTTTAATATTTGTAAATTAATTATTTAGCTCCTATGGAGAGAATTAGTTTATAGATCATGTAACTCATTATAAAATTTATATTATATATAATAATATTGATAAAATAAAAATGCAATATAATGATAGATATAACACTCTAATTGCCTAATTATTATGAAATCTATAAGCGATGAACAACAAAGTATTCAAATTGGTGGGGACCATGAGAATTGATTTGTCTTTCCCTCTTATCCCTAGACTGTCCACATATATTAGGCCGTGTGAGAGACTCTTTCTTAAGAAATTTCCACAATTGACTTCATTAATGATTTTTTTTTTTAGCAAAGACTTCATTAAACGATATTATAACAATTTTGGTTGCATATGTTCTTATTATAAGAGTTAAAAGCTAACTTTGGGAGAGATCAAAGAAAACATATGCAAAATTAGATGTATAATATAAATGTATATATAATTTTAGGATGCATGACTTATTATGAAATACTGGTGTGATGGCTTATTTTTATAGTTAATAAAATTAAATTTTAAAATCGTCATCAATATGTATAAATTGCGAAATGCTCTTATTAGGAGGATTAAAGTCATTTTCTCTTGACGACCTTGACATTGTCATGCCGTGAGAAAAGCTTCATGACTCCTTGTCTTTCACAATGTCTGTAAGCCTGTGAGAGACTTCCATCAATTTTTTTTTTGAGAAGTGTGAAGTTTCCACAATTGACTTTATTTATTAATATGACAGTTTTGGTTGCATATACTCTTATTTACGCGTGAAATTAAATAT